ATTATTATTTCGTTCGTTTTGTCATCGTTGTTGCGAGACAGAGATGCCGGAGCTTTCATTATTATTTATATACATACATACATACATATTATATATAAATATAAGATATGAAGAGAGAAGAAAAGAAAAATAATGAATACATAACAAAACAAACGCATTTCTTATGTTTTTTGACGTTTACCTTCCGCCGCGCGGTGGTCGCAGTAGGCGTCAAAAAAATGCGGTCTAATAATTTAAGAGACAAAAACCTGTAAATAATTTTCTTAATCCTAACAAAACAAAAATAATAACGCTAGTTATTGTCTTCACATATTCACTAACAAACAAAAAAAACACACACACATATAAACACACAAATCACACACTTTTCAAAGGATCGCTGACACTTGTGATGATGCCTCGAAGTGAGGATTGTTCAACTGCTCCGAATCTGCCAGAAGCATTTACTTAACGCATCGCCAAATACCAAAAAAAAAGCGCATCAAAAACCCATTCTTTACAAATATATTATATAACAAGAAAAAAAAATGAATGAAGAAAAATTTATATTCCTTTCGATAATTCATTTGTTTCAATATATATGCATATATACATAAACATTATATATATATAAAAAAAACAAATAAGAAAAACATATAAAACAAAATATACACGCATGAAAAGAAATGGGATTAATAAGATACAAAACAATTAATATTTAACTGTATTATACACGCATTATTCAACTAAACAAAAAAAAATAAATGGAACAGTTTTATTATTTATTATTATTATTATTGTAATTGTAATGAGATAACAACCGGAATGGAAAAACAAATGACTTCGAAATTGTATAAAACAAAATAATCTATTTGTGTGTCGTTTATTTTTGTTGTTGTTTTTTTTTTGTTCCTTTAATTCTTCATTTGTTTGTTTTGTCTTTAATCAGAAACCAAAGAAACATGATTGAATAATAAACCGGAAAAAAAAAGTCTTATATAATAACAAATGGGAAATATTGTAGTCACATGATATTATATACATCTATATATATATAAATACTAAAAAATATATATATATTTGTATATATAAACGTATATGTTAATATACATGAAAAAAAAATATATATAGTATGGTTCGTCATTTTTTTTTTAACGTTTCAATTATGGTTGTATAATTACTATAGCAAAAAAAATGTATGTTAATTGTATCTACTTAAAATAATAAATAAATTTAAAGTAATCATATGATTCGTTTATTTAAATCGAAAATTATAGTTAAATTTTTCATCTATTAAAATAATTGTCAACATTTCGTTTGTTTATAATGTTTTTCACTTTTATCAAGAGTGTTATTAATTTGTTTGTTTTTTTTTTTAAATTCTAGTAGGCTGGATTTTGAATACATTCAACAAATTGAGTATTTTGTGACAGCTGTCAGTTATTTAATAAGTAACCTTAGAAAGTTAAATGTGTTTTTTTTATTAGGATAACATCTGCAATGACCACATGTTTTCTTCTAAGTAACTTATTGGTAAGTTGCATATTTTTTCTTATTCATTGATTTATAAAGTTTGAGTGTTATAATTTGTATAGAAATAATGAGCATTTCTCCTTACATCTAAAATTTTGATATTTTCATTATTCCAATACAAAATGCAAAGGCCATGGAATGCTTTGGAGTTAGTGTCGTTCCTATCTACCTGAATTATTCGAATCTTTACCTGAAGTTTTACAGGTAAAGACCTTTCGATATAACGGGGGGTTGAAAACGTTCTCAATTTTCGATACAGGTGTTGCATTGTAAAAGCAGGTGTTTTCACCACTTCCTACCAATTTTAAGTATGAATTGTATACTGTTAGAAAGAAACCAGTTGAAAACAATATTTTGAAATTAATAATAATATTTGTAATCATAATTAACGAAATGAACGAAAACAGATTGCGTTGTTTTGAAATTTGTTCTTCTTTAGTGCTGTTCTGCTTTGTCCGCTCACCATATGATACATCCTTAAATCCATTTCGTATGCAACTAATCAAATTTAAAGAAATGCTGTTGATGTGCATCATACGTAATTTCTCGACAACCCCTTAAGATAATTACATCATCGCACACTCGTATGAAAGCTGAATGTCTCACCTTTCCAACGAGCCTAATGGCATCTTCGTACTGCTACCTGTTATGAGCTGTTAAAAATTGGAAAAAAGTGAATAGAATTTGTCAAAAAATGGATGTTTTTAGGTTTTCGTTAATAATTCGAAAAGTAATAAACTTTTTTATGATTTTATTGCATAATCAGAAGCACGTAAGCGTTGCGCAACTTTTTATGTAACAAAAGTTACGTAATGTTCGTTACTTAACAGAGAAACGTCGTTTTTTCAATTTTTTTTCAGTTTTTCGTTAATAACTCGACAACCCTTCAAGATAATTACATAATCGAACACTCGTATGAAAGCTGAATATCTCACCTTTCCAACGAGCCTAATGGTATCTTCGTACTGCTACCGAGTCACCTGCTATGAGCTGTTAAAAATTGAACGTACATATTGTATTTTGAAATTTAAATCAAATGAGATCATTTGTATTTCAGTTATAAGTATATCGTTTAATCATTCAATACTTTTCATAAGCAACCTTGTATCGATAATAACAATAACATCATCATTGTGTAGTTATAAAAACAAAAGTTGATTTCCTTATGTTCTAAAACAAAAAAAAAAGTCAATGCAGTTAATTTGCATCAGCATAAAATGCATTGCATGATTAGAATAACAATTGTTGTATATCTTCTACAATGCATAATTTAATAACTATGAGTTATATGAGTATAATTGTTGCATTCTCACTGTACACGACGTAATAATGTCAATCGAACGCAGTGGCGGAACAACAATGGCGCCGCAATGCGTGAAGGCGTATCCTCGCAAATCTAGTGGCGCCATCTAAAGAGTTTCCTATGGAACTTTACACCAAAAACAAAGCGACAAAGCTTATCATTCAAGATTTAACCTATAATTACGACACAATTTAATAAATTAATATAACTGTACCTTATATAAATATAGTGAAAGGTTTAATTATGTAAATCGAAGATTAATTAAGAAAACTAGTTTGAAATGTTATATAAGAAATTTTCAAATTATTTGACGCTCGCACTTGTGGCGCCACCTGTAGAGTTGCCGGTGTACTAATGATTCGATGACAGCGCCATGCAACAAATTTTTCATATGACTTGAGTCTCCTTAGTTTATCAGTATCATGATACAAATATACAAGGTACAGCGGTCAAATTGACGAACATTAAGTAACAATATATTAAGACAAACATCATTAGATGACTTATAGAATTATTACCAGAGATAAGCCTCTATTCTGAATAGAACCAAGGTTTTCAAGCCTTTCCCTCGTTTTACACGGTATTTTATTTACACGTTTTCGCATTTGCACGGTTTTACAGTTACAATTTGAGATTTTCAGTAATTCAGATTTATTTATAATTGTGCAATGAGACAATTCCATTTAACATAAGTTGAATACAATAGTTTATTTTCAAAATTTCCACCCCTCTCTTTTCGAGTTAAAGAAAAAAAACGCCCTTAAATATAATAGAAAATTCGTTTTGAAATGATGTAGCTGCCTTGTAGCTCTTTTTAGTGGTAACTTTGCGGAAATTAAGTAATTGGATTTAGTGCGGGTTATCGAACGACAGATGGCGCCGCAAATTATGACAGACCAGATGTCGCCGCGTTCGTTCTTGAGCGCTCAGATCGCTTACGGTGGTTTTGGTCAATGCACAAACCCGTGCCGTCCATCTTTACAAGAGTGTCGAATAGAATTGCGTGTGTGTGTATGCATAATACACGTACGTCTGTGTGTATGTATAAAGTACATATACACATGTAGATTTTTTTCAGAGTGTGTATTTGTATGTACAATGTATGCGCGTGACTGCTGCGACGTTTAATCGAAGAGAAGAACTCCCTATATTCGAAGCAGCGAACAGAAGATTCTCGTCCGAGAGTGCCGTCGTCGATTGTCGTCTGTCTCTTGGTTGGAGGAGTGTGTTTTGTTTTTGTTGTCGCCACTGCTCGCTCGCTCACTCTCTCTCCCCGCGAGCGCAGCAGCAGCAGCAGCAGAGGTAGTAAGTAGTAGCAGAGGAGGTGGACGTAGTAGACATTTCGAGAGGTGCAAGTGCGTGAAGAAGATGTTGTCTAACAGAGGAGTCCTGCTGGCCCTCGTCCTGCTCGTGTCCTGCTGCAGTCTTCCCACAGGATGCAGCTCGATCCCGGATTACGATGACGGTGAGTCGAGTTGACTTGATCAACATATCTCTTCCTCTCTCTACCTCTACCCCCTGCCTTCCGTACGAAGATGACAACCATTACCATCTTCCTCGTACCTACTAAACCCGATGCATCAAATGTTTGTTTATTTATTTGTTCATCGCCCTCCCCCCGTATCCTGTGATAAGATAAAATTGCGAAAATTCACCTGGGCGCGCACAGGTGCACGCACAAGATGGCCGCCCCCCCGCTGTCAAACCTACAACAAAACACGATCAGGAATAATCGGGGCCACCCCCTTATCGAGAAGGTGACATTCCCGAAACCCTCACGACGAGCCCTAAACTCTCGTCATCCTAAAGACCTTTAAACAGCAACGTTAAAAGATAACGGCATAAGAACGGGGTTGTCTCTGAAATCTCCGAAACGTTTCCAACAATTTACACCTGTCCGGATTTTAGGTGCGTTTCCAGCTTGCCCCAAAATGGCGTCGCGCTCATTGTTGACTGTTTCAACGATTCCACGGCCTTCTTTCCTTTCCAAGTCAGCACAATATTTTGTGTTGTTCCGATGTCTAGATGCAGTTTTCTAGGACATGAAAATAACCTCATTCTCTCTCTCTTTATTGTGCCGCCCGTCCGTCAGTTGTTTTGTTCCCTCGATTCTGAAGCGGACTAAAAATAGGTGGGCAAATGTGTCATCGCCTGCGGGAGATTCCGCAATTTCCATTTTGGAACGGTTCCCATTTTACACCGGAAAAAATGAAATTTATAAAGAAAGATTTTGAAAAAAAGATAATCTAAATAATGAATAACATTTCGAAAACCGTTCGCGCTGCAACACAGCAGAATTCGATACGAAGCGCATAAAATGTTCTTCAATTACAATATATTGCATTTAATTACAGTTTATGCTCGAGTTACACACACATATAGCTGACACTTCGTTAATAACGAGGAGGGTTGCAAACGTAATCATCATCTTCTGCGGTTGCAATTCAATATAGTATTTGCTTATGACAGTAAAAGATTGCGAGAAAGAGGCGAACGTACGTGACAAATGGCCCAATCTAATTCAAGGCTACCAGGACCGCATTAAGAATTTATGGTGACATAATCGTTTTCTACCCAATATGGTCTCGTTATTTCTTTGAATACGTTTCTACCTGTATCTTTCTTGCTTGGTTTGCTTGGGACCTTACTTGATTTCTAAAGTGTCTCGTGTTGTCGAGAGAGTATTGACCTTCGTTTATTGTGCTAATACTTATTTATATAAAAGGATAGTTTATTTATTTAAAAGGCAATTGAAATATAAAATATCACTTAATAGCTCAATAGCAAGTAATCATTCCGTTTTTAATGAGTTGCGAAACAGTTTCAATAGTAAAAAATAGTTTTTCATAAGCATGGTTGAATTTCTATATATTTTCGTATAAAATTTCTTAGATGTTTGTCTGAAAAGTATTGGACAAATAATCGATATTTCGGTGCATTCTCGTCCTCTTCGTTACTACTATGGGATATGAATTTGTCCGCATCGGAAAGTTGTCTAAAATCTATATAATAACCACGATCGATAGCCGGAAAATTCTTAATTTTCAACGTCGTAAGCATTATACAACCATCCACGATATATGGGCATAGTTTAGTTTCGAACTAGGGTTATAAATATAGCTGGAAAGGGCGAACTACGGATTTTCGAAGATACCGAAAAAAGGTTCCCAATTTATCATGCAATCGATTCGTATTGTGCTTATATTATAATGTTTCGTTCTGCTTATATTACTCAACTAAATTACGCAGTGTTTCGTTAATGTAGGGCTAATAATGTAGAGTAATATTTGAAAGTGCACTTTGTCAGTGCACAAAACTTGTATTATTTCTCAAATTATTTGATTTTTACCATAAAAAAAACTGTTGTTAATAACTCATTTTGTAAAGGGTGATAAGTGGACAAAAGAAAGTCTAAAAAAAAAGAACAAAACAAAGCACACGCTTTACAATTTGCGACAATCGTAAGATTTTATGATTTTTTTTTTGCAATAGGAGAAGGATGCATAAAACTGAAGGATCAGGTAAAAAGGAAATAACCAATTCTAGACGATTCGCAGCGAGATCGAATGAAAGCCTTCCGAGGAATATGCACGAATACATCACAAAGGCACATTCCAACATCCGTTTTTCCAGCCTGCAAATCTAATAAAATAAGAATGTTCGCAACGGCGTCTCTCTCATATATATATATATATATTATCAGCTTACAATAAATCATTCGTAAAAGTCCAAAAAAAAATAATACGAAATAGAAATATTAAGTTGAATTGAATTACGTTTCTATATATCAAGTGCAATCAGACGTTTCCTTCAAGTCGAAAGTCGAAAATAACGTACAGTTTGAAACATTTAATTGACAATATCTCGCGTTGTAGCTAGAGCATTCGACGGGTCTAAAAGGGAAAAAGTGTAAATGAAATTAGAATCCGCGATAAAAGTAATTTAAAATCCTGTTATGGAATGTTTTAATCGAATCTCTTCGCATTTAATGGAACCTGAAGTTTACGACACACACAAAAAAAGTATCGTTTTAATAACAAAGTGTTGTAACGTTAAAGAATTTGAAGAGAACAAAAAAATATGCATTTAACACGTTGATTACAGCTGGACGACCTCGGAGTAATTTTAAATTCAATTAAATATAAGAAGCGAAACGAATTACGATGTTGTGCGTATTTCAAATTGTTGTATCAGAGACGGCTGCTGTTTGTTTCATCGAAAACGTCAATAATACCAACGTTGTGCAAAGTTTGTTGGCGGCATGTAATTTCCGGGCAAGCCTTCCTTGATCCAATCGGTCTTTGTGGTTTGAGAACCACTGATGCATTGTGTTTTTGTTTCAATAGGGATTCTGCGGCGGCTTCGGCATTAAATCGCCATCAAGTTGCCCATTGTGGAATTGTAACGAATCCGATGGGACGATTAGGTGTGTGTGTTTTGCAAACATTGCAGAGGATTTCATTCTCCTCTGCATAAATAATATGTGGTGGATTGTCGCTTCGTGATTAAAGCGATTCGTTATATACGAAATAGTCGTAAAGAGCAGAAACCGGTTAAGAACCACTTTTATATAGAGAGTTCGCCGTAATTGCTGCAGAGCCGAACCATTTTATTACCAACAGTCAGCGGTCGGTGGTCGGACTGCGTTTCCTTCTTTAAGCGGAGCGGCGGCGCCTTGCGTGCATGTATGTGGCTAAAGAGATTTATCGTTTTTTTTCGGATCATCTTGAGGAGAAGAGAAAAAAGAAAATAACGCTACGTTATAATTGAATTTTGTTCTCTTTAGCTATAAGTCTCCCAATCAAGTGGTCGTCCTCGAGGACGAGCAATAAAAGAAGACAAACAGCCCGCAAATATAGAGCCTTATGAATAAGTGAAGTCTTTGAAATGTTAATGGCTCCTAGGAGAAAGGTGAATTCACAAAGACCTAGCCTGAATTCGTTCGGCTCGGATCTGTCCTTCTCCGTGGAAAGAGAGAAAATGCTTCTTTTTAGGAAGTTTTCCGAGTTTCTACGTCGGTTTCGAGTTTCCTACACAAGGGAGAACAACGTGTCGAGTGTGTGTTTTGATGCTCAAGCTTAAGCTTTTTTGACAGGACACAATTAATTGCCTGCTAATTTCGTCGTGTCCCGTGACTCGGCGAAGTTCTCAAACGCCACCAATCATTTACTTAATTATTATCGCCTAAAACTCGATGTTTGACAGATTGCGAAAGTTGGCCAAATCCAAACAATTTGTCTTCTTGACACTTTGATTGACAGTTAATACCGACACATAATATATATATGCACATATGGAATCGTCTTCTTTATTAACAAGTTGTTTATCTAATTTTAATATTTAATTGTGGACAAGATCGAAGATATGCAAAATAAAACAAAAGACTGTCAATAGGCAATTCAATAAAAATGAATTGTGTTTTGTTGTGTAGGAAGCTTGTTTTGAGGGCTTCTTCTCGAAATTTCCGTATTGACAAAAAGTGCTTTGTCAACCTCACGCATAAAGGACCTTTACAAGTGTACGATTTTCTAAAGACTGTCGTCTTTGCCGATGCAATTGAAAAGGATGAAACAATTTAAATGACGTTTCAAAAATTTACGGAAGAGGTGGTTCGTTCTTGTGACAAACGTTAAAGCCTTTACAAGATTTAAGAAGAAAAAAGCACTTGTCACCGTTTTTTAATAATTCTATTAAGTTATTATTTACAGATGAGTACTCTATATTGACATTTGACATTATGTAATGACATTTTCTTATCATTTTTGACGTTGACAGTTGTAACTTGTATTGACATTGAATAAATCAATTGTCATGACAACTTTAGTCATTTATTTATATATATACAAAGCAAACTATCAGATCTACTCCATAAACGATGTTATTACGAATTGTAAAGTAATAATTCTTTATGATTTTATGATTAAGTAAGTGTGAGGTAGGAGCTGTATTGACATACTATTATTTGTATATGCAATTGAAAAAGATGAAACAATTTAAATGACTTTTCTAAAATTTACGGAAGAGTAGGTTCTTTCTTGTGACAAACGTCAAAGCCTTTACAAGATTTAAGAAGAAAAAAGCACTTGTCACCGTTTTTTAATAATACTATTAAGTTATTATTTACAGATGAGTACTCTATATTGACATTATGTAATGACATTTCCTTATCATTTTTGACGTTGATGGTTGACAGTTGTAACTTGTATTGACATTGAATAAATCAATTGTCATGACAACTTTAGTCATTTATTTATATATATACAAAGCAAACTATCATATCTACTCCATAAATGCTGTTATTACGAATTGTAAAGTAATAATTCTCTATAATTTTATGATTAAATGAGTAGGTTAGGAGCTGTATTGACATACGATTATTTTTATATGCAATTGAAAAAGATGAAACAATTTAAATGACGTTTCTAAAATTTACGGAAGAGTAGGTTCGTTCTTGTGACAAACGTTAAAGCCTTTATAAGATTTAAGATGAAAAAAAAGCACTTGTCACCGTTTTTTAATAATTCAATTAAGTTATTATTTACAGATGGTACTCTATATTGACATTTGACATTATGTAATGACATTTCCTTATCATTTTTGACGTTGACAGTTGTAACTTGTATTGACATTGAATAAATCAATTGTCATGACAACTTTAGTCATTTGTTTATATATATACAAAGCAAACTATCATATCTACTCCATAAATGATGTAACTACGAATTGTAAAGTAATAATTCTTTATGATTTTATGATTAATTGAGTGTGAGGTAGGAGCTGTATTGACATACGATTATTTTTATATGAGGGTTGTCCCGCAGACTTTGATGTTTGCAGAAGAGGCGCACAAAAGTAAAGGGGGCGCAAAAGTACCTCGGCTTGTGCTAATGTTTGACGTTTCTATTTTTAAAGACCCAAGAGAGAGAGAGAGAAAGAAAGAGATGAGATATGCACGGAGTTATGACGAATACTTACTTAACATTTCTCGAGCCGTCGCCGTTTCATAAATATTTAAACGAGATGCAAACAGGCATTATTCTTTGCTTGGTAATTGAAGCGCAGCGCGAATCGTAACGCTGAGACATCCGAAATAAAAAGTAAATTATTGAACTGTGTGTTAATTGTCGAAAGGTGGATGTAATCAAGAGAAAGCAGCTTTCCTTGATTCCATCGAAATTTAATAGTGAATCTTTTCTAGGTGTTTGTTGTGCATTTGCGCTGGAGTTGATTAAAACCTGATTATATAATCTAGAATAAATCTTCCTTTCGCTCCATTTCCCGTGCTTTCAGTGCGAGTTCATTAATGCGATCACACTTTTAATCTTATCGCAAACGCCCTTAATCTGTACCATAAAGCTGCTTACATTTGCACTCTGGCGAAGGTAGAAAATGATTTTCTTTTTGCTAATTGATGCGTTATTATGTTTTTTGCAGTTTTACATTTGGACGTGGACAATTTGGAGAACGGATACCATGGACTGGTCAAAGAGAACGAAACTTTGGTGGAGGTGACTCCGGCAATTCGAGCCGTCGGCGATAACGTGTGCTCCTTCCAAATCGTCAACAAACATCATGGAGAGGTTCCCTTCGAGATCATCACCAAAGAGAACGGATACGCCGAGCTCAAAGCCCGACGTGTTCTCAACTGCGAGAAGAGGCGCAACTACAAATTCGATATCGCGGCTATCGATTGCGACGGCAAGAAAAGCGTCAGGTTCGTACCAAATACACACACATAATTTCCACTCGCTCGATCCAAAAAATAATTAGAAAAGAATTAGATTTCTAGAAGGAGAGAAATCAAATATATTTATGTTAGAATTGAGAAGGAATAAGGACGTTTTCGGGCTCTCCTCTCACGTACGACTTCTCCGGCTTATTCTCTCTTCCTTTCTTTTTCTTCATTCCTTTCGCGCTTTTGGCTTCTTTTCGAGGCAACGTTCTTTTTGGGATGCGGTGGATTAAGAATGCGTAATGCCTTCGTCGTTCGTTTCCTTGCCCATAAATGGCAATCGCCGCCGCCGCCGCGTACGTGTCTGCCGTTTCATCGGAGCCGAGTTACCCGATCCATGTTTCTTTCTTTACTTCTTTATTTCTTCTTTTTTTGTTGTTTTCCATTCCATTACGGCCTTGTTTCATTTCGTAATCAATGCAAATTGATATGGCAGTTCTACGTGCAATCGAAAAACTGCTCTCGAAGCCGACTAAATAGTGTTAACAATTCGGCTTCGGTTTGTCTGGAAAACTCATACGCACCAATCAGATGCGAACTCTTGCATTTGCATATCATATAAATTGATTGCACAACTGGGAATGGGCGTATCCCCAGCTGACAGAAATGTCACGGGTTTGTTTCTGCTTTAAAATCAAACGTCATTGGGACAGCTTCAACAAAAACCTCAGATTATTATCTGCATATTTATTTTTACGTCCAGTTATGAATTTCAATCAATCAATCAATCAATTAATGTTACTTTGAAATGTACCGTATTCTATTGAAAGACTCATCAAATTCTGTTTTATCAATGATTGTTATTAATAATGTTCCGAGATGGAGCAATTACATTTCTGCAATGTTCATTAATTCACGTTTTTTTTTGTCGTATTTTTATTGATGACAGTTTTTCGAATGGAAACGAATTTACATTTAAATATATGCAAATCGTCTTGATTAATTAACTAAATTATTTTGCCATTAGTTTAAGAAATGTTTTTCAAAAGTTTACATAACAACTGTTTAGATTGTTTTCATGTTTATCGTAGCTTATTTCTTAAATACTTGCGTTTGATTTAATATTTACAGATTCGTAATCTGTATTTTTTTCGGCAAATAAGTGAAGATGAATAGAAGTGAAAGATAAAAAGGGAAATAATGAAAAAAATTAGTTTTTCAGCTATAAATCGATGGTCAAATCCTCGATATATTTTTCATAATTCTCTTATGTAATCAAACTGAAATATGCGAATACAAGATAATTATGAAAATCAACTTTGTCTTTTTTCATGTATTCATGTATCACATATCTTTCCATTCTTTTTCAATCCTCGATATATTTTTCAGAATTCTCTTATGTAATCCAACTGAAATATGTGAATACAAGATAATTATGAAAATTCGTTTGTATCTCTTCTGTGTCCTCAATTATCGTTTTAACATTTTATTCTTTTATCAAAGTAAATTAGGTAATACAAAATATTCACGAAAAAGAAGCTTGTTTTTTTCATGAATTCTAGTATCGTATTTTTTTCATTCTTTTCCATTCCTCAATATTTGTTGTTTTGAATTCTCTTATGCAATTAAACTGAAATATGTGAATACAAGATAGTTATAAAAATTAAGCTTTTTTCACGAATTCTTATATGAATCTTCAGTCTTTTTTAATTCCTCAATTAGCGTTTTAACATTTTATTATGTAATCATACTGAATTGGTTAAATACAAATTATTTATGAAAATGATGCTTCCTTTTCATGAATTCTTGTATTTCATTCGTTAATATTTTTTTGTTTAGAATTATCTTATGTAATCAAACTGAAATATGTGAATACAAGATAGTTATGAAAATTAACCTTTTTTCATGACTTTTTGTATTACTTGTTCGTATCTCTTCTGTGTCCTCAATTAGCGTTTTAACATTTTATTCTTTTATCAAACTAAATTAGGTAATACAAAATATTCACGAAAAAGAAGCTTGTTTTTTCATGAATTCTGGTATCGTATTTTTTCATTCCTCAATATTTGTTGCTTTGAATTCTCTTATGTAATCAAACTGAAATATGTGAATATACAAGATAGTTATAAAAATTAAGCTTTTTTCACGAATTCTTATATTACTCTTCAGTCTTTTTCATTCCTCAATTAGTATTTTAACATTTTATCATGTAATCAAACTGAATTGGTTAAATACAAATTATTTATGAAAATGATGCTTCCTTTTCATGAATTCTTG